CATAACTTTCAAAAATTTTCTCCTGCTTCCACCCAGCAACTCACCTCCCTCCCCCCCAAACACTCGGTCAGTAAGGAGTTCACCCCTCGATGGTTCGGATTCCCGGGAGTTAAAGTTATACAGGGTGTCCCGTTACGCTAGGATCACCCGAAAATGGGGGGTTGCTGGGGTGACCCTGAACAACTTACCATCGCACTGCGCGAATATAAAAAACATTTCGTACTGCTGAGCGTTCGTACGATGCATGTTTCTCTTACGGTTGGCAAAAATATTCTGCCAGTTTAAGCGTTTCCTGGGTCCTAGATGGACGGTCCTTAAGGAAGGGATATTTTTACAATAGAACGGAGGAGAAATGTTTATTACTGGAAAGCCTGAGTAGCAAGCAGTTTTGGAGTCGACCTCCATACCATTAAAAAGTACCCATGCGCTCGGGGCGGTCGCATTATTTTCGTCACCACGTGTCCGGATAGCGAAATGTTTTCCGCCCGTGTCCACCGGTGTCATTGACATAGATCTACAAAACGTATTTTTTAAATTTTCATTACGAGCTCAGATATAAAAGTTGTAAAAACGACCTTCGCTATAGATCGCGATTCCGACTAATTGCAGTTTTTTCAAAAATTTATACAAACGTCGGAATGACGGCAAAAAACCATTTCTCTAAGTCTTATAAAAATAGCGGTGCAAAGTCAAATTTTTTGACAGCGATCGATAACCGATAAGTCACGCGTACGCATCGTTCACGAAGCTTCAAACTACATTTTGGATAAGGAAAAAGTTGTTCAGGGCCACCCCAGCAATCCCCCATTTCCGGGTGATCCTAGCATTACGGGACACCCTGTAGATACTCTATAACCTAAACTCCCGGGAATCCGAACCAACTCCTTCATTTCTCGTTCCATAAAAAGAAATTTTTTTGGGGGAAAAATGAAAAATCCACTGGTTTAACGTGGAGAGGGAATTAGGCAAATATTAAATCGCGGAAAATAAAAAATCGAAGATATACAAAAATTCTCAAAAAATTTGTCAAAAATTTTTTCCTAATGAAAAAATTAGGCTAATGCTATACTAACGAAAATAAGTTAGGCCACATAAATTAGGGGTGCGGCGACGAATATGGGTCGTTTAAAATGACCTCTAAGACCAAACTCATACAAGGCTCTCTACTGGGAAATTCATAATATGGAAATGAATTTATGCCGGAAAATAGCCTAATCGACCTCGTATCGCGAACCGGTTTTCGGGAACATATGTTACCGTATTTCAGTAACTGACAAGTCTCCTGACAACACCATACGCCCATAGGCTCGTTGGAAAGGGGAGAAAAAATAAAAACCCCCTCCCCTGGCATGTTTTCTCACGCCCCAAAATAGAAAAGATATTCATGAAATTAGAAATTCCACCTATCATGACATCTGGAATACATATACCCATTAAATAGGGGAGTCAGAAAGGAAGACTTTTCCTCCCTTGAGTTTTCCTCGCACATCCAAAAATAAGTGAAATAGTAAGAAATTCAATCAGACAATCATTAAAAAGGAAAGAAGACTTTCTCCCACCTGGAAAAAGATACTTTATATCCTTATCTTCCATATAACTTATGACTACTCTATGTTCATATCTTCGTTTTTCATGCACACTTTTTCCATTCATACACACATGCACTCCATCTCGGGCACCTCGGGGTCGCGAATCCCGTACCGCGGACTGCAGTTTCCACGGGCCCTGAGGGAAGCATGCCCCCATCCTGTATGGGGAGGACTTAATCCCCCCAACCATCACGTCCCCCTCGGGGCTTCGTCCGGCAGCGGCGAGAGCAGCCATCACTTCGTTTGTGGTGACGCTATCGTCGAGGCCGGACACACCCACCTCCTGTTTTTTCTGTGGGCGCGCGATTTTAACATCATCGCCGCCTACGATCCCCACCATTTTAGCCGCAAGGGCATCAGCCCTTGTGGCTCCTACCTCCCCGGGGATATCCAGAATCATAGCTCCGGTCATGGCGCGACGCGGCTTGATTGTGGATATCCCCAGATCGGCGATTTTGCGTCCGCAATCACTTCGCCAACCTTCCTCTTCCCCCCAGGCAGCGCGGTGACCACGATAGCCGCCGTTCTGGGAGGTCTTGGTGGGCGGACCTTCGTCACCCCGATCGTTTCCCGAAGGTGAGAAGGGGCCGCGGCGCGGAGCTCCTCCCTCAAGGCGCTCATTTTGGCTTCCATGATGGAGGTCACCGCCGTAAGCAACTTCTCCTCCCGACTCTATACGGAGTCGGGAAGAGGACGCTCCTCCTCCTCACCCCTTATTGATGACGGCTCGATGGCCCTCCTCTTTTCCGCCCTTCGCCGCAGGGCCATCCCCTGTTCCTGCTAGGGAGGGCGGGTTTCCACCGTTGTCGCCTCGCGTTCAACCACCATCTCCTCCATGGCGGCTGTCATCTGCTGTATATGGGGGAGTAGCGGCGATGGACGTGGCGATTTCTGGCGTCCTTCCTTTGAAGTCCTGGCGGCGGATGTTAGCGCCTCCAGTTTGTGGCCCTATTCCGCAATTACTTCCGTTAGCCGCCCGACTTGGGCGGTCAGCTCCTCCACTGTTTTACGGTGCTCGGCGTTCTCACGCTCCAACACCGAGTTCGGCGCCGTTGAGGTGGTCCTTTTGCTGATCTCGCCAGAGTGCGTCCTGAAGAGAATGGACGCCATCTTCAGGGCCTTGATATATGTCCCTTTCAGATGGCCACTAGTTCCGGCCACCTTTCCCACCTCTTTGCAGGCCTCCATTATCTGCGCCCGCATATTGGCGGTCGGCATTTCGCGCGCCTGTTCCGCCATTTCCGCCTCGAACTTCCGCCATTTCGCGGAAAGCTTGGGCGGGTCCACGTTAGGGCCGAAGAGGTCTAACTGCACCTTTAGCTCCAATTGGAGCTCGAGAGCCTTGTTGTTCATCCATCTCTGTGGCCCTATCTTTGTATTCCCTGCTTGTTACAGGCTTGCCCATTTTCCTCAGTTGGGACTGAGAGTCACCGAGGTTGTCTCTGTAGGTCTTCGTCGGCGGCTGCTCCTTCCCCGATGAGTTATCGGAGTCCTCGCTTATGAAAAGCGTCTCTTCCCTCGGTAGACGTACGCCGGTACATTTTGCGCCTCCCTTGGATTTGGAGGGCATCCCTCTACGTGCAACATTCCTGGAAGTCTGTCTTCCATTCAGGTTATCGCCAAAATTTTCGATGCAAACACGTAGTTGTTCTGTGCTTACGCTGCCACGAGGGGTGACAACACCAGACGTGGACGGCTGGCCGTCACCATCTCCAATTATTGATTTGCCGGACAGAGCAGCGGCGTAAGATATGCCTGCTGTCTGGCTATCCTCCTCGCGACTCTTTCGATCTCGTGCACCGCGGCCGCTTCTGCCGCCTTCCTCTTCCTCTCCCGCCTTCCTCAATTTGGTTTTTTGAGATTCTTTCGTCATTATGTGGTAGATATTTAATTCATCGGCTTCGGGCATCATGCCAGCCCCACCGCAGTGGGGTTACTGTCCATCGGAAAAGAAATCCCTAGTGAAATGTGTCGAAACCCGAGAAGCGGGCTTGTCGGGTGGTCAAGCCTATCGACATCTGGTGACTCTAAGAAAAATGTTACGGGATAGGCCAGCGCCATATTGATGCTAAAGGTTTTACGTCACCCCTATCGAGTGGGCGCCGCCGGATCCGATCCGACGACTAACCCAGACTTCGGGCTAGACGTTGCCGCAGTTGTCCCCCCGCGGCGCGGAGTATGAGGAAATCGACCAACCCGATCCTCCACACCTGCGCCCAGCTAACCCGGCTTCAACCCTGTCAGAGGCTCCAGACAGTACCCGGGGAGCGGTTCTTCCACGTTTAACATAGCCGTTCACGGGACCTTTGCCATACTTTTCGGACTTACGTTTACCCTTATTACTAGGCCAGAGGTCGAGAACAGACATCACCCCTCCCCCCATACTCCCACCTCTGACAGGAATATCCGCCAGGCACCAGCCACAGCCCATTCACACCCTCATTCATACATCCACATTCATACCATACCACTCACCGCGTTCGCCCTCTTTCCCGCCTTCTCAGCCGGGAAGAGGCCCAGGAGCCCCGCGTGAAGGTGAAGTGAGTGGATTTGGCCCACTTCACCGATGTTCGCCGCCCTGGGCCTCGCCGAAAGACGAGTTTCAGTTTGGCGAACATCAGCTAAGTCGTGGTGTCGTGCCAGTGATGGTGCAGCATTCCCCCGACTCATCGCCGGACTTCCCACCGCCGTTGACGCCGCCCATCGGGACGGCCCCAACGCCAGCAAGAGCCAGCTCATCGGGGTTCAACCGGACCACCATCTGGTAAGTCCCCCTCCAGCCTTGTGCTGCTCCCAACCAATTTGGACCTATGGAATATCACTATGGGGAACCACAGCCATGAGTCACATAACAAAACTAGAGTCACTACAATCAAAAATTCTAAGAACAGTAGTTAATGCAGCGTGGTACTCTAAAAATGATTACATACGTAAGGACTTTAAAATTCCAACGGTTATGGAAGAAATAAGCAGATACCCAAAAAAACATAAAGAGAAAATGGAAACATATCCCAACCAAATAGCTGTGGAGGTACACACAACCTGTATTGGAAGAAGATTAAAAAGGAGACATTCTACTGACCTATGCATACAAAACCATAAAAATTAAACAATCACACTGAGGTGGCATTTCATTGGAAGCTGTCACCCACGTGCTATGTAATCTATAACACATACAAGAATTTACCTAATGTCCAATGGACAAAGTGTAAAAAAAAAAAAAAAAAAAAAAAAAGCTGCTCCAGGACCTAAATTCGTAGGGGCTTGTGGTTGTGAGACTTTCAAGAGGTCGTATGCGCGAGCGCGGCAGGACATATAAAAGTATTTTATTTAGATTTTTTCACTCATGTATGAGCCGTTTTCGTCTGCGAAATCTAAATCTGCTTGGATTTTCGCAAATGATGCATATTCTTATTCTAAATCTTCGAGTCTAAATTGTAATTCCGACGATGGAGTGTCTATTTTGTATGTTTGTAATACCTCCTTGAAAGCTTTCAATTCTAATTTGAAGGCTTCGCGTTTTGCCTTCAATGATTTGACGCGATCTTCATATGATGGAGCCATGACTACGTTTTTTTGGTGGTTTAATGTGACCGGATAACAATTGAGATGGCAAACGATTCACAAGAAAGTATCTGAGTGTACTTTACCCAACGGCGATTCTGCAACCTTCCTCTCGTGCGTTGTTCCTGGAGTTGAGCTGCTGGATGACTGCTGGAATCGCGTTCAGGTGGGCTCCGATTGATGATGTTGCAAGCTCCTATGGGCATCCTCTGTAGCGAATTCCTTCTGGAATTGTGGACGGTCTCGGAGCGATGTTGCTCGATCGTTGATGTCGGTACAGGATGGAGCGATATCTCCACAGCTGCTGTCTCCGGTTGATGCGTGTCAGTGCTCTGGTGCACTACGATGCTTGCTTTGCTGTTGATACAAGATGGAGCGACTTCACCACTGCTGCTGTACCTCGTGAGTGTGCGTTAGTGCTGTTGCACTTCGACGTTTGCTCTGCTGTTGGTATAGGGTGGAGCGACTTCTCCACAGCTGCTATGTTTCGATTGGTGTACGTTGGTGCTGTTGCACCTTGACGTTCGTTCTGCTGATGATACAGGGTGGAGCAATTTCTCTACTGCTACCGTATCTCGATTGGTTGGAAATGCGAAAGAATCAAGCTCTTCCTTAGCTTGAATCCGACTCGAAGGACCAAAAATGTACCAGCCAAGCACGACGATTCTAATCTCGTACTCTTTTTTTGCCGGATGGCTCGTTCGACGGTTTAATGTCGTCGAAGCCAGTTCTAGGTTGTGGTAATAAATTGAACTGTGGTTGTTGATATATATTGTTACGATAAGTTTACACTCGACTGATGGAGTATGATTGACTGAATGAATGCTTAATGAGTTAACGGTATGGATGCACGACTGATAGAATTGTGAACTGAGATGCCGGGCGGGAGTGAGCTTGCTCTTTATATAGGGTGTCCCGTAACTCCTTGAACACCCGGAAATGGGGGGTTGCTGGGGTGACTCTGAACAACTTTTTCCTTTACCCAAATGTTGGTTACAGCTTCGTTTTTGAATTATTAACGAAAAACACTGGCCAATCAGAGCGCGCGTAGAGCGCGAATTGTACACCTACCACTGAATTATTAACGAAAAACACTGGCCAATCAGAGCGCGCGTAGAGCGCGAATTGTACACCTACCTGCTATGTACCCTACTTATGTATATCTTAATAAATTGAGGTGAAAACAGTGTAACGGCGTTTCCTCACCCACCTTAGTGTCATAAATTACACTATTATCCATACCGTATTGTACACGGGAAAGTTTGGCTATTTTGCGATTACGATGTAGCAACGATTTATTTTTTATAATATCGTCGAAAACAATAAAAGTGGCGGTGCAGTGAAGTGAGTTCACCGACCCGGCCGTACCATCAGCCGTTGAGGGTTACCTTGAAAGGTCAGGATCGGCACAATGACCCACTTCCGTCGAAGCAGGTTAATTCGTGGACGAATGGGTAAGTTTTTCATAAGTAATAAAACACTTTATTCCTTTCGGATAACGAATAAAAGTATCGCAAACAGTTATTAATTTCTGAAAATTAGTAAAAGCATTTAATTTGAATAAATGGTAGTATTTGTAAAATTTTCACCTAATGCATCACACAGCATATTTAAATAGTTTTATTTCTAACTATTGACATATTATTTATGCATATTGCAATGTGTTGTATTAGAATAAGTAGAATTGGTCCGGCATTCAACGTGTTAAACGACTCATTAGTTTATTTGTTATTCATGAATAACAAATAATTTCAAATTTAAGACGATGTAACATTTGCCGGACGCTTCCCTCGATACCCACGCTGTGCCAATGTGTTTGTTCACGGTCGCGCGCGGATGAGTCTCTGCGCTCCCGTGCCTGGGCGCGGGCTCTACACGCACTCTGAATGGCCAGTGTTTCTCGTTAATAATTCAAAAACGAAGCTTCAACCAACATTTTGGTAAAGGAAAAAGTTGTTCAGAGTCACCCCAGCAACCCCCCATTTCCGGGTGTTACATGAGTTACGGGACACAATGTATGTTTGGTAGGAGCTGAGATGGGTGAGGAAAGCCGTTGCACTGGTTTCACCTCAATTTATTAAAATCTAAATGCGATGGTCGGCGTACAGTTCGCCCGGAATAATACAATTGTTTTGTTCGCTGATCGTCCCGGTGGCAGCGGTTCGGCGGGTACGTTTCGATGGCTGGTAAAGGAAAAACTGACCGGAGGTGTAGGCGTACTGGGTTTTTATATTGTTAGGACAGGAAGACAGGAGTAAAGATAGACAAAGACAGAAGTAGAGAAAGTGGTGGAAACGGAAAATTTGCAGAAAGCGGGGCCGTTCGTCCTCGTGCGAACCTGGATGCCACATGTGCACTTCTTAGGCTATTCGAGGACGAAGGCAAGTCTTAACCCGGGGAGAGACAAAAAAACGGAAACTAAAATCTGAAGGAGTTGGAAACGAGAAAGTTCGCGTGGAAGAATAGAACAAGGTTCGGTAAGGGCTTGTTGGCAGCGACGTACCCGCCACAGAACAAAAAGCGGGATAAACGGCCTGTTTACATGGACCCTAGAGGCCGAAGAAGCAATTGCTGCTTGCAAAAAACAGTTGGCCGAGGCAGCATTATTGGCACACCCTACTCCTCAGCACTGACGTTTGCGACACTGCACTGGAAGCTGTTCTCCATCAGAGAAACCACGAAGTGTGTATCATAGATTTTAAGGGCACCGCGACAAGCATTGCCACAGAAAGACTGAAACCGGCGTTCATAGAAATGGACCCAGAGCAGATGAACACGTTGGCCAGTAACAGACCGCTAAAAACCTACACAGGTCCGAAAAATCACCCATGTTTCCCGAAGGGGGGTGCTGTAGGGACTTTAGCACGGCAAAAACGTCGTGAACGTTTCTCCCTAGACTAAAATTCCTGACGCGCCATCTACATGGCGTGGGGTATATGCGCGTTTGAAACGGCGTCCATCCTTCTTCCTTCGTGAGACGCTGTGTTCAAAATTACAGCACGCTACAAGCTACAACAGTCGTGAAATAGTACTGTTGCGTGGGTTCTTGAGGAATTTGATTTGCGCACGTAGAGCGCCAAAGCACTTAGGAACGCAATTGTTTAGGAAAGTTAATGAATATGGTGTTACGTGGGTTCTTGGGGAATTTGAGGGAATTGCCGCCCGTGGAACACTGAAGTACTCTGCTCACGATGATTTTAGGAAGTTAAATGAATAAAGAAAACTAACGTTGAAACCCTTTTTAAATTAATAAATAACTTAATAAATAACTTGATTGGAACAATAATTAACGAAATGTTTAACTATAACTTTATTACGAGATAATACGTCTGAGCTCTTTGAACGAAGAAAATTGAATGGGACCAGACGTCGTTGATTTTCATATCCCAAGCTTACATGCGCTTTGTTTTTCAAAAGGTCTCCAATCAAATTAAAGATCCTATATAACGGTTTTTGAGGATGAATTCGATTGGTTCTCATTATTTGTTTATCGCTTCGGCTACACCGCGGCACAATTTGAATGTGGCGTGCTTTAACATTCACACTACGAGGCGTCACATGACACCAGATTCGGACCACCCTAAAGCCGTGTTCACGGGCATGCACGACGAGCGATTAAAACTACGTTCATGCGATAGCGTAACAATGCAAAATCTAATGTTGAAACTTTTAATAAACTAATAAATAACTTGGTTGGAACAGGAATATGTGAAATGTTTAACTATAACTTTATTACGTCTAATCTCTTTGAACGAGGAAAATGGAATGGCTCGTCCGGCATCGTCGTTTTCTCATCGCCCCCACATCTTTTGTCTTACAAAAGTATCCAATCAAATTAAAGGTTCCATACACGTGTTCTTGAGGATGGCTCTGATTGGTTCTCATTATTAGACTTTCGCAGGCTTTTACATTCACACTACGGGGCGCCACATGACACCAGATTCTGACCGCTCTAAAGCCATTTTCACGTTCATGCACGGCTAGCGATTAAAGCTATTTCAAGCAACAACGTAACAGTATTATTTTTATAGTTGTATTTTATAGTTCTTACACGGCGCGATGATAGTTATACGTTTATATTTTTTTGCTGTATAATCTCGAAGAAATTTTTCTTAATTATAAATATTCTCTATTTAAAAATACTAGATCTTTTATTCCGCTTTGCCCGCCATCTTTAGACGCACATGGCTTATGACGCCACAATGCACAGTCTCGGCTTGCTAAAGGTCCGTTGATCTGCGTATCTTAACTAAGTAAATTAACGAGTCGGAACTCACGAGCGATTGAAAACGGTTTCTCTAACAGTTTCAGTGATAGTTTAAGAAAAAAAGAAAAGATCATTTCAGCGCGTATAATATATCGTTGAAGCCACAAAGCAGGCCAATTGAAAAAGATTCACAGAGGAATAATGCACCCCACCACGGCATTAATAACAAGAAGTGCGAAATAAATATTTCAGTGAGGAACGACTATATGCTAATGCCAAATGAAGTTAATACAAGTGAATTAATAAAGCTATCGTACGAGCAAGTGCAACTGAAATAAGTAAAAAAGCGTTAGAGTCTGTTACGAAGTAAGTGCTAAGAAACAAAATAAACGTAAAAAGACTAAATTCTACGCTGAATTTAGGCAAAGAAAGGAAAACTTGTTGGAAACAGCGACCGTTGAAGAGGAAGCATTGAAGACGAAAGTGAAACACCCAGGCATTCCTTCGCCCCACCGTAAAGCAAGCCATCATACAAAGATTTGTTTAGAATGATCAAAAACCTTAACAGGACAATTGAAAATTTAACCGAGCAACTAGAACAAGGAAAAAAAATTGAGTGGACCTAAGACAGACCTCAATGTTTTGAAAAATGACAAGAAGATGAAAAAGGAACAATGAAAAAGGCACTAGCAACATCACTGTCTCTCTGGAGGACCTCCACAACAAACTAAGGTTACAGTAAAGAAAAAAAACAGCTTAGAAATGCAGACTTTGCAAGAAATGGCATGAAAATCTGCAACCAGCATGAAGAACAACTAGTGTTTATCATCCTTTCAAGCATTTGGAACACCTAAGGCTATTGTCTTACACCTCCGTTCAGCAAGTATCTACTCTCTACCCAAACCACCACCATCAGAACAAGCTTATTGAATCAGACGAGGATGTCAGATCAAGACTTAAATCCCAATTGACGTAAGAATTTTTTCGCTTAGATTTCTATTTCTAGGTGCTAATAGTAGATGGGGACAACTAGTGTTTGTCACCCTTTTGGGCATTTGGAGCATCCCAGATTATTGTTTTATATCTCTGTTCAGTAAATATTTACTCTTTATCCAAACCACCACCATCAGAACAAGCCTGTCAAAGTAGACGAGGACACAAATGCTATTTCCTTAATATACTCAGAAATTGGTGGTATCAATACATCATTATGAAGTGTCGCGAGTCTTTCATACCTGTTTCTATCTAATATTAATTAAAGACATTTATTTTGGAACACTTGAAAAGGTTTTGTGTTTGTAGGAGCTGTTGAACACCATACCGGTGAAACATAAATTACTAGGGGTCTTAGTATGATGGATGTATATATTAATCTCTTATTTTTTATTAGTACTGGTGAACTTGTAATCATTAATGGATATATTTTCTTTAACATCTCATGTGCTTTTCTAAGTGCTTACTTAATATGGTTTGTACAGGTTAATTTAGAATCTAAGTGAACGCCAAGGTATTTTACATTATTTTCTGGTTTTAGTTTTTTATTATAGACTGTCACAGGTATAAAGATTTTGCTGTCTTTCCTTTTTTTGCGGAATACTATTATTTATGTTTTATCCGAGTTTATGCTTATTTTTCATTAGCCATAGTATTTTTCCAAATCATATAGGTGTATTCGAATTTGATTTGCTGCCACTGCATGAAATGAGTATGCATATATAGCTGTGTCATCAGCAAAAAGTGCCAACTTTGTTTTATTAACACGTTGCGTACCGCGTCACCCGTACTTGGGTGACGGGCATGCTTCCGTGGGGCCCGCGTCACCCATATATGGGTGACGCTTTTCTTGTTGAAGTTAAATAAGATTTTCAGTTGCATTTTGAAAACAAATTTAATGGAACAAGTTCTGAAGTATAAATATAGAATATACAGCGTAAAAATATAAAAAATACACAAATAACACTCTACTTTTTATTAATTTATATAGGATAACATATTATATTATACTATGTCGCATGAAATTCGTTGAAACAGTCCAAGCACATCTGTGGCGATTTTGGGCAATTCAAACAATACGTTGTTTTTTTAAGGTTTTTTCTTGCTTGTTGGCGTTCGACCATTTTCCTCTTCTTTTTGTAACAAAGTACGCACATCTTTCTTACAGGCTTCCCCTGCTGATTTTTGCGGATCTCCAAGTGGTGAGACAGATTCCTTCTTTTGGGTCTATTAGGGTTGGGCACAGTATCTTTTGAGGACAACCATTCTGTGACTAAAAGTTCACGGAATTTTCTTATATGTATTTTTTTTTGTGTAGCTCTCTGATACACTATATGTGCATTTACTATCGTTGTACCTAATGGTTTTTCGTATGTTTGTTGCATATGACACCATCTGGTCGCTTCTGTCGATGCCACTTTTACCAATATTGTACTCTCTTATCGCCAAAGGTTTCATTTTCGTAGGACGACCGCGATGTGTAGAATTCGAGCTTGGAGTCATGATGGGAGGATGTTTTGTGGATAAGATTGTGACATCGCGAACATCTCTCCATTTGGATATATAATACCATTTAATACCATTTGGATCTTCTCGTGCCACCATTTCCCCTCTTTTCAACGGATACATTACACAACTTGGTTTTTTTTTTTTATTGCGCCGTACCGTTCCAACCACATGCGTCTTAGAATTTAAAAATTTAAGTGCTAATTCATAACTAGTGTAAAAATTATCAACAAATAAAGTACGTCCTTCGTTCAATAATTTGTCTGCAAGTTCAGTGCAGACACTCTCTGCTATGCCAACTTTTCTTTTTCCGCTGGTATCTCGTCCAGAATATATTTTTGAAGACCATGTGTATCCTTCGGTGGAGCATAGTTTGAACAGTTTTACACCGTACTTATGTGACTTTGTTGGAATATACTGCCGAAATACTAGTCGTCCCCTCCACGGAACCATTGTCTCGTCGACAACAATGTCTTTGCCTGGTGAAAAAACCTTCTGATAATTAACCATCAATATGTCTACAAGTGGTAAAACTTTTCCAAGTTTGTTATTTTGTACTATCGTTTCATTGTTAGCAAAATGCAAGTTTGATAGCAGTTCTTCAAATCGATTGCGGGACATTGTGCTGCGCGGCAATGAAAAATTGTATACAGGATCCGTTGACCAACATTTCTTTAGCGGTGTTTGTACTAGACCCATCCAAATCATCAATCCAATAAATTTTTTAATTTCTTCGGAAGTGGTGAGATTCCATTTATTTTGTCCAGCGTGACCAGTCGTTTTATGTTCAAGTAATTTCTGCTCTGCATATCTATTAGTTTCTGTGACTAAAAGACTTATTACTGTTTCATTCAAGAATAGCGAAAGAACTTCACCGGGGCTAATGCCAGACGGCAAATCCAACAAAAGCCCACTTTTTCCAGTGAACGGAAATGATTGTTGCCTTATATTTTCCAATGAATTATCAGCTGTGTTCAATTTCTCTTCTTCGTCTAAAGCCAGTTCTTCTAGTAATTCTTCAATATCTTCACTTGCATATGATTCATCAGTATCCGAGCTTGAACTCGACGAAATTCTATTTCTAACTTTTCTTCTAAAACTCACAACGTTTTCATCACTACTCTCACTTTCAATTGTACTTTCACGCCGTCCAATGAACATTTTTGGGATAAAAAATTACTGATGTGCGTTTCAGAAAAAGTATGCTTTTCAACTGAATAATCTATACATGAAAGATGTATATGTGATTCTTTTGACTACATTGTCGCGTAAACTATAGAAAGACAACGTTCTGCGGAACGGAGTAGATCGAGTGGGGGAAGGGCTCGAGCGCGTCGCGCTACGCTTGGACCACGCTGCTCTAACCGAAACGCTTATCGCTTTCCAGGGAATGCGATAAACGTTTCCAAATCCAAAATAAGCTACTTACCAATAAGATTATTTCGGAACAAAACAATGTATCAATTACATAGGTCGATAGCACTGTAAATGTAGATAATCGACAATGCATGGATCTACTCGAGTTACATTGTTGGTTTTCCCGCATATCTCTCCGCTATCGTTCTAGTGCGCCGAGTAAAAAACTTGGGCCGGTAGGAAACAAAACGTAATCACGCTTGGTACGCAACGTGTTAAATTCTGGTAGATCACTTAGATATATATTGTAAGATTTGCTTGGACTTGTAATTGGGGTTCAAAAAGTGTATTTAAAATAATAATAACAATAATTTATTAACAAAAGTAGAAAAATGAAACAAAAACTAAATGTCTACTTTAACTATGAACCACGCTGTTTCCATACATAATCTTTTTTTCCGTGCTTTCAGCTCAAAGTCTCCTTTCTTCCAAGTCTTACCCGACACTAATCAAACCTTCTATGAAGGAAAAGGAAAGTAGTAAGCTAATTTTGTTGATAACTATGGTTCATCTGTACTTCAGGTGGGGGGCATTGTCAGTGGTGTCAAATCCTGCACCTGTATCACATCTGGTTGCATCTAATATAGAATATATTACGTCACAGATGTAACAACCGCCTGGTAAAAAAATACTCTGCTGTGTTTTGAAAAGTTCATCCAAATCCTTTTTAGCATACTAATAATGTTCCATCCTGCATACTCTCTCTCTTCTTAAATGGAGATTCGAAAAATACTGTACAACAGATGGGTACACTTGTAGTAGACCATTACTGGGACTATTTGACAATATAATAAAACTCCGTTTTATTAGAGCATTATAAGTCTCTGGAATTCTATACTTTTCAGGTAATTCACGTGGCTCAATAACTCGGAAACCCTTAGCATTAACCCTGCTTAACGCTTTTACTGTTCCGGTCAATATGACCTGGTGTTTAATATCTTATGCTGGCAGGTATAAAAATAATAAACAAATGTAATTTGTTTTATTATAATATAGGTTGTAATTTTGTAATTTTATTTTTACAATATAGTTTAACAAAAATACATAAAGGTAATATATGTAGTATAAAGTTAAAACTAAAGTAAAAATTAAATATAAATATCTGTCATTTAAAACTAGAAGTGAAGATTGGAAGTTACGTCAATATGCAATATATAAACTAAACATAAATATTTAACATTTAAAACTATGAATAAAGAGGAGGAGTAATATTAATTTTAATGTTGTTTACAATTTGGGCAATAGTATGTTGAATATGACTTACAAATATGTTTTCTGCAGTTGGAGCATGTCATATTTGTCTTATTGCCATTATTAGATGGGCAAAATTTATATCGAGCTCGTTCTGACTCCTCTAATTGATGCCATGTGTATTGATATTTCATTTATTTCTCTCATATGTTGTAACAAATTGCGTGATTTTTTTGTTCTTGGTGTACATTGTCTTGAAAGTATTTTCGGCGTAACGAGAGATTTTCCTAATTCCTCTAAAAATAATCTCCTTTTTATTAATTTATTAGCATTGCACTGAGGATTTGTCGAAGTCCAAAGTACAAATGCATTACAGGCAGATACGTCAAGCATATTATAAAAAATTATCAGAGGCCAACGATTTGTTTTACGCTTACAGGTATATGTATTTACGAGCTGGTCAAGAGTGTCTAAAATTATCTTCGGCTTTCTGTCAGATCTGCTACTAATATCAATAGAATTATGATTGGTACTCATAAGAATAATACAACAGTTGTATTCTTCGCAAAATAAAATGATGAACTATGTAGGATATTGTACCAGCCAAGCATGACGATTTTATTCTTGTGCTCCTTTTTTTTTTGCCGGTTGGCTCGTTCGACGTTTTAAGATCGGTGAAGACTGTTCAAATATGGGTGAAGAAGTTGAACTGTGGTTGTTGATCTTTATTGTTATGTTTACACTCGACTGGTGGAGTATGAATGTTTAGCGAATCGATGGTATGGATGCCTTGGCGTATTCTTGTGAACTGATATTTTGAACTGATCTGCGGGCGAGGGTGAACTCGCCCTTTACACCATTAGCGATTATTGCTTCACAACGTCTGGGCATACTTTCAACCAGCTTTGCAGCGTATGAGACAGGAAGAGATCTCCATATTTCTCGAATACGGCGAACTAGCGTCTTCAATTTTAAAATACGCTTTCCTCGGAGTTTGTACTTCATGAGAGACCAAACATTTTCGATTGGATTGGCATCGGGGGACTGAGATGGCCAATCCAACACGTTGACACTATTCGCTGTTTTCCACTCCGTACAAAGGCGGCTTCGGTGTTTGGGGTCGTTGTCCTCTTGAAGTATCCAATGATCTCTGGTTCTTTTAAACCAATGTTTCACCGATACTAAGAGACCCCTTTGGTACAGTTTAAGCATCTTCTGGGCATTTAAATTATCCGTAAAGACGCACAAAGTTCCGAAACCCCGACTGTTGAAGCACCCCCAAACATGAACTTTTATTGGGTGTTTAATGCTTCTTTGGATGACTGGATTTCCATGGGCAGACCAGGCTCGTTTTATAGGAGTCCAAGCCCAAAAAGATGACTCATCGCTGAACACGACATTGTTCCAATCACGACAAACGTTTTCATGTGCCCACGCCAACCGTTTTCCGACGTGCTTTGTTGAAAGCAACGGCTTCGAAAGTGTACTACGCCAAGCAACTTTATTTTCTTCCAACCGACGTTTAATTGTTACTATGCCTATTTTTATGCCCTTTTTTGCTAACATTGCTTGCGCTTTACGTAAGGAAAGTGTCGGATTTTTCGAAAAAAGCTGCAGAATTGCTTTATCATCCCTTTTTGTCGTAGCTCCCTTCGAACCTCGATCAGGGAGATCATTGACACAATTTGTTTCTTTATAACGTTGCACCCACTTATTTACAAATTCGCGAGACTTGTGCAGATATTTTGCTGCATTTCTAACACTCATTTTTGGCCCTTTCGGGTGCTGGCACAAGAATACTGCTTCGAATCGTTTAGCGTATACGGCACTCATCTCGAAATGACTTGAACTTTTCAGTGACAGAAATGATACTAAGAGAATTGGGGTTATTGTGTATTAGAGGAGACATTGTATGTTTGGACTGGCACAATCTTTGCTGTATTGGGTATCAAATTTCACAGATATCGCGTCCACGCTCTTGTGAAACAGACTGTATGTTTTCTGACTGGCCTCGTCGAGTTCTGGTTGCGCTGATTGGTTAGCGAGGTGGTGTGAAAAATCACCAATCACGGGCCTAAATGAATGGTGACAACCCTCTCCTTGCGTCTGTAACATGTTTTTTTTTTTTGGAGAAAGGGATGCCTGTGGGTTTTTTCAGGTTAGCCGCTTTTGGGGGACAGAATTTGTTGATGCAAAATTGTCAGCCTCGAAAGCGGTACCGTTTTATGGTCAAAAAAGTCCCATCGCTGGCGCGAACAATGAGGTTTGCGCGGCGCATGGTAGTCCAAGGGGGGTCTGGTCGGCCAAAGTGAGGTTTGACATTTTGATCATTAATATTCTCGATGTCTTTGAATATCGCGATCGTCGCCGTAAACGCATTGACTTTCGCATGATCGTGGTAGCCATTGAAACGCGTGGTGCATTTCGAAAAATGCTTTGTTCCGTTGACTGTTTTCCGTTTAAGGAAACCAGAAGTTTTGAAAATTGAGACGTGGATAATTGTACAGGTGATGCTAGAGGAGTGTCTTTGGAAGTGGAATTGGTATCTTGGATGTCGGAGTTGGAAACGGAGTTTGAATTTTGAATCTCGGAGCCTGTGGAGTCGTGGAACTCCGCCTGTGCGTTGGGCGCCAACATTATAGTAGGATTTTTGGAAAGAAAGGATTTTCTTTGGTATCTGGGAAAGAACACACAAAAGTTTATTTATCTTTTGTCGATACATGTTAAATGTTTGATGTAGAATAATTTCGAACAAATCAATGCAGTGTTCGAGCTGTGGCTCTCGCTTTCGGGCGTCCGGCTTTATGCAGCCGTACTCTCCCGTTACAACATTAACGAAACGGATAAAACGATTTATAACAATTACTGTGGGAAGGCGTCCAGGTAGCCTCCTGTACTCTACTCTCTGGAAGGCGACCGGCGGATAGTCCAGCCGTTCTCTCCATTCCAGGAGCGACCTAGGTATAGCTCCCGTACTCTCTTATCACAATCTTATGTAATGCGCGAAAAGTGATTTGTAACAATTATTGTGGGAAGGCGTCCGGTGAGCGTCCTGCACTCTACTCTCTGGAAGGCGACCGGCGGATAGTCCAGCCGTTCTCTCCTCCAGAGAGTGACCCAGGTGACAGTACCCGTACTCTCCTGTACTGTACGAGCGTCCGAAAGCTAGGCTTCGTACTCCCACTCTCAAGGACGACCGATGGTAATCCTCGTTCTCTCCCAGCGGAGTACAAGTATTGTGTGCGGTTTGTGAGGCTCGATCAGACGATCGACCGGCGCCGTACCCCGAGCTTCTGCTCTATACCGGCTTTCGCGAGAAGATGTTGGTTTCTCTACTTTCTGGGAACCCTTGCCAGGAGAACACGTGTTCGGCGGAGTGCGCGCGACTTGGAAAAACCCTGCTCTTGCCACTCGGATCACTGAGCAAGTTAGGCCTACCCTTTCGGGACGCAGCTCACTTAGACGACCCTCCAGGCTGCGGGCAGCCCGGAGTGTCGTTACCAGCGGGGGCCACGGGGAGGCGGAGCTGCGAGCATGCGTGCTTGGTCCCAGCA